TAATCTTCGCAATCATACATAAACCCGAGTCTTGCCTGACATTTTCCAGCTGATACAATTCGGTTACATGTGTCAGGAATAGTGAATGGTTTTGTAATGTTATACGTAAACGAGCAATTCGTAGTGCATCGAAGAGCATTACATGACAAAAAAAATAAGAAAAAAGGAATGATGAATTTTCGATAGTGTAACATAATAAAAGAAAACAACGAAGTTCTGTTGATTATTGAGATATAGTCAACTTGCAGTTATATATCACAGATGTTTCTTTTTCTCTTCATCTATTTCATTCTGTGTTACTAAGCAAATATTTATTTTTGTGATAAAAAGTAATATGATAATGCTGTTCTTTTGAGTATGGTTAATCATAGACGTTCTAAAATGCATACGCTATTAAATGAATCTAAAGAAGAAAACAGAAAATCAATCTTAAGACAAGTTATGGTGTGGATGTCTGAGAACAGAAGATTCACTTTCACATCCACAGCCACAAACCCATATCCACACCCATACCCACACCATTTGTAGATTTGAACGTAATAAAAGAGCATGGATCTTCTATTGTCAAGAAGTATCTACTTGTATTAGATAACTACTTTGTCAAATGAATTTTTGATTATAGTTTGCTGCATCTAATAATTGTCTTTGTGTGTTTTCTTTCTTTACACATATACTATCGATGCAGTTTATGCATGTTAATCTCTACATATGATTTCTACTTATAAAATAGGACGCTTCAACATAACGGAAAGCATACAAAACTTTTAATAGCGCCTAATGGAAATGGAAAAATTTAGCCATAAACTGCAAAAAACGTTGTGAGTAGGATAACATACGGCGGAAACACGGTTTTAATAATACTCATTTTTTTTGGGGTGAAAATGAGCCTAGACGACGTTCTTTACATCATGATTAAAAAGTTGTTCCCTGATTTGGGATGGCGTATCATGACATAAAAACGACCATGATTTTATACTGCTCATGGAGAGAATTGAGTTGTTTTATCTTCTTTTCTGACGATTGAAATCTTTTGCTTGGGTTAGTTCTTGCATATTACCCATACTGCGCAAGCCTGCTTCAAATCTCTGCTTAACATACTGAGGTTTTGATTTTTTTTTCTCATTCAGTAATTTTAAGTCTAATATTGAATAAATACAAATTGATCTAAAGAGCTCAAGCTATCTGAATCTTCTTCTAATCCTTATCATCAATCACTATGAGTATTATCTAGCAAAAGACAAGTATTTTTTTCCAATGCAAAGGAGTCGCTTTCTTTCTCCAACTTAGATAGTAAAGCAAAGGAAAATGAATCAACTGTATCATTACATATTACTGAAAATGAAGTTGATTTTCTCCAAACTAATTTGATAATGACTAACATTCATCTATACCTTACAGTTGGTCATATTTTCACTATTTTATGAAATGTCTCCAAAACGGAGAGATCTAACAGAATTTATTTTACACTATAATGCATCGATAGTTTACGTGTAACTATTTGTCGATAGAAACGAGCAAATAAAATGACTGTTCTCGTCTTGCGTAAATCCTTTTTTTCATGTACGTCGTACTTCTTATAATAGATCTTTATCTTTTCAATAAGTTCTTGCAAACATAAATGTCACAGAAGTCATGAGCGGAATATGACTTTCCTGTTGATTAATTTTATCAGAGCTAGAAAAATTTCTTTCACACTAGTTAAATGCTCTTTTAATAAAGAATAAAAATCTGTTTTTTTTTATTATTAAGAAAAGCATATGCCTGTTCTAATAACTTCTATAAATCATGACAACCGCTTTTGCAAATGATATCATAAGTTTGCCATCACAGCTGCAATAGTCCAATACTAGAACATTTAACAAAAAGTAATGACATAAAGATGAAATTGTGCTAAATAGTAAAGAAAAGACTTCTCAATAGGATGTTTTGCTCGTGAGAAATAATCTAGTAAAATACCCTAAAGAGTAGTATAGTTAAAAAGCTGAACATGATCGAACAATCTTCACAATCAAATAATCTTTATTGGAGAAACGTTGTTACATTAATCAATGTAAAGCTTGATTCATTCACAATATTGATGACTTTTGCAATAATTTTTTCTATAACGGATTTCATAAAAATTGTACACATGTGAGTGAGTTTGGGATTTTATCTCTCTTTGTGATAATACAACTTATGAAAGACTGATAAATAATAAAAGTTAAGTATAATTAAACATTCTTTTTAAATACTTTTCTTCTTTCACGCCGATAGTCGCATTTGATCTTCGACTTACATTTTTAAACACAGTTATATTTAGCATCAATTCAACTGAACACTTATTTTATCAGACCATTCGATAATAGTTACTTATTTCTCAAATTTAATTCATCTGTTTCACCACTGTATAATTCTCACATAACGTGTAATAGATATTTAATTGTGTCAGATTATATTAGTGAGAAATCTGACCTCATTTACAAATATCTGTATACATTATCTTCTTTAACTCTCATCGTGTCGAGAAATTATGTAAGTCAGACCTTCTCTTGAGAAAACATGTAAGGGTGAGGTGTGGGTGGTGTGGTTGGGTGGGGTATGGATGTGTCTAGCAACTATTATCACGATTTTGTCTCGACTAAGAGACCCATCAGATGACTTCGACTTTGCATCTATTCGAGAATGATCCGAAAATTAGCAAGCATTCATACTGTAAGTGTTTTGGATGATGGGGAATGGAAATTTGTATTTTTGACAGCAGAGACTTTATCTGTTCTCTAGTTGTAGTGGGTTAAAGGTGTTGGCGGTGATGCGCTTTTTGTCGATCGAGTAGTTTCTTTGAGAGTATTAATTTTGGATCGATGGAAAATTATGTCGTTGCTGCTTAGATGATAGTGCGTGTTTTGTGAATGGGTGTGGCGTAATATAATGTGTTTTTTTTAATATGTTGATTGGAATGGGTGAATGGTATTGGTCTTCTCATGACTCACTGGTTTAATTTGGGTGAATGCTTTTTTCAACGCAGAGTAGCGAAATAAATTCTTCACGTAGTTTATATGAAGGGCTAAAAGATGGTGAGAGTTGAAGTTTCATGTTGAAGTGTCTTTAGTTTAGGAGTATTCGAAATTAGATGATATTTTGTTGTGTTATGTAGATTAGGAAAACGTACAATCTGATGGTTTCTGAACTAATATTGTATTGATGTCATTGATTAATTTGGTCTGTTGGTGGATTTTACTTTCTCAAATTTGTTTGATTTGTAGCATTTTTGTACAATTTTAGGGAACAATAATCAGCATGGACCCGAGAACGTAGTGAATCACTGTTTAAATAGTGAGTGGCGATAATATTTTAGGTGACCAAGTAAATCATGATGTAGAAGTTTTGTGAATACAGAAGAAACTCGTATAAATTCAGAAGTGTGTGCAGCAATCAGAAGTATTTAGAAGATAATACCAGCGTCAAAAGAATTAGAACATGAAAAATGGTTCAAAGAAATTTTAAAATAAAAATACTTGGACATATTCCTAAAAGACTGGACAACCCTGATCGTTAGGTTGTTGCATCCAGAAGTGTAATGCAAGACGGATCACATTGTTCATCTCGGGGATTGAGTGCAGTTTTTTGTTGAAATAGATGTTTTAAATTGCCCTTATTTACTTTTTTGATGTATAGTTTTAAGGGAAGTCGCATTTTTTATGTGATGTTTAATCATTATCTATTTTTATTTAGTTTTAATGTTTATAAGGATCAGGTAGAAAGGGGAAAACGCCATGTTTAGTGTTCATGTTTTCGTTTCAAGCATTGTATTTACGACTAGGTGCATTGTCATGGGCGCTGTTTGTTCTAATTGTCTGACATCGAAATTTCTTTGTCGATGATGGCATCTTCGTAACAGTTCTTGGATGAGATTCTTACTGTTGTAAGTGTCAACGATCAATTTTGTTTTGATAGCCTGTGTCGTTTCGAATGTTTTGTTCCATAGTTGGTGACTATAGTGTTTAGAACATTCAAGCCTTTTCTCATGTTTGCAATGAATTATTAGCTGTCTTGTCCATTGTTGTCGTCTGCCTAGTTTTGTGTGGATTGGTTGTGTTTTGCTATTGACTTGTGTGTTTTGATGCATTGTGGTTCGTATTCTTGAACCTATTTGATACTCGGCAACTGTCGGCTTATTCAACAGATTACGATGCAGATCGGCAAATAGAATTTCGTCGCTTCTTGTCGATAAATTGATGGATGTCGGCAAGTAGATTATCGAAAAGTTTTTAAATCGACTATGAATATACCTTGGTGAATAACAAAATTGAAAAACGAAATCATGAATATTCTAATGGATCAACAAAATTCACCCATTCTACAGTAACATTAGTTTGATTTTATGTCATTGTTCATGCAATGCGGATAATGTCGATGAATACCTTAATGCTCGTAGTAAAGCATCATCAATAATGTTTTTGAAAACATTTCAAGGATGATCAGATTTGAATGGTACTACATATGGTTCAGCTACTTCTTTATGGTACACTGAAGTCATCAAGATTCCATTTTTATTTTCAATAAATACATCAAGAAATTGCACAAATGTTCCAAGTTAACGAACTAATTTGATATTTGGATGATAATTATTGGTTTCATCCAGCATTTTCTGGACTTTGTCTAATCACTTATTTGAAGTAAAGAAGATGTCGTCAATATATCTATGAATGAGATGTCGGAAAGAAGTAATATGGCTTGTTAATATAGGATACATGCTGTTCACAGATTTCATTTGATGCTGCTTGTCGATGAACGGACTTTTGCTCTCATTTTCACATGAAAATTTTAGCTAGGGTTAATGTAAACGCTGATCCCATTGCATCTCCAATAATTTGTCGATAGAATTTCTTTTCATAAATGAAAACATTTTCTGTGATGACAATACGAGCCAATTTTCAAATAGCATCAATTGACATACGTTTTACTTTACGATAACCATATTGAAGAAATTCAGTTAGAATATCAAGTGATTCTTCTTGTGGTTACACTGTATATATATCTGTGATATCAAATGTGCATAGATAAGTTGTTGTCTTAAGACAATCATTTGCTGTACATCTTTTCGAAAGACGAATAAAATGAACTCCATCAATTATTGTTGTTGATCGAACATGTTTATCAAATAATCGTCGAACTAATTTACCTAAAAACTTTGATATTCCAGTTGTTGGTGTATTCATTGATGAGACAATAGGTCTTAATAGTGTTTCTTCCTATTTAAATAGAACGAAATACTTAGGTCATGCCAAAAGTAGTGGACCCCGCATCTTAATTTCGTATAGACTGTTTGGAAAAAAATTCTTTTCTTATGAACAGATAGAGCGTCTTTTACTCTATCTTTCTATGCTATTTGATCACTATTCAATCGATATCATAATAATAAAATTATCATAAAAACTGTTT